GATTTGCTTACATTTCATGAAGCCTCAGTAAAACGGGGATAAAAGCTTTGGTTCGATGGAAGTCACGGTGCTAACCTTCATATCTAATAATTAACTCCATTATGTCAAATTAATTTGATATAATTATTGGTGATGGCACAAAGTCAGTGGCCCAGAGAAAGTTGGAGAAACAGGAAGAACAGAAGTCCTAACCATACACAATACCCTATAAATAGCTTTTTTTCTTTCCAGAATGAGCAAAAGACAAAACAAGTTCATTACAGTCATCTGGCTTTACTCAGCCCTCTCAATTATCCCAACACCAGACAAATAGCTGCAAAATCTAGCAAGTGATCTAGAATTAAAACATGCCCTGATAAATCTGACACAGCACTCCGCAAGCATCTTCTCCCATCCTATCAACTAAACAATACAGATTTAATAATGTTTGAGAGCCACAATGCTTTTCCTTTACCTAAAGACATTAAGAACATTTTCTTGATGCAGTGTTGTCAATTGGGTTGGTTGTTTTTGTTTATGAACAATCTGGAGAGAGCTTGCAGACTCTTTATTTGATCTGCAGTTTTAATCTAATATTTTCGAGACTTACTCAATTCAAAATAAATGTGCCAACTATAAAACAGCTATGTTCCTTTATTTAATATTTCTGCGATTTGCTCTGAAAGAAGTACAACAGTACTGCATTCTTTACTAAGAAAATACAGTTTACTGAGACATTTTTAATTTTCTCATGAGCTTAAAAAAAATCACGAGGAAGAAAAATTTGACATGATTGTCGTAAGTGCTGGGAAGTACATGGACCTGAAAGTGAACAACAAAGCATTCACTCACATCAAATTCCTGAAGTATAACTAGAATTTGTAAAGGATTCTCTCACCTCTTCCCTTCTCTACTGGGAAAAGCATTCCCAGACCCTCTGTGGCCTAGCCACACACCATGGAGAAGAGATGCATTTACCAAATACAGAAGTCACATATGGCAGAACACCAAACACCACAACTGTGCCTAAGCCATCAGCCTCCTCGCACTGCAAGTCAGCACTGCGCCCCTTTTCCCAGTTGTGAACCTGCTCACTGTGAGCACAGACAACCATGCACCCATGTGCCAGTTTTGTACATAAAGCCCAAGGCAAACCTTGCCTTCATCAGGCTTCACTGGGTACGTGGATGTAGCACCAAGGGTGTTTGTTTCCAGTTATAAAGAATTCAAAAATTAAGAGATCATATGACAGCATCACTTTGATATCTCACAGTTTGGGAGGACTGGTAATACTTAGTTATGAAGAGCTGGGTACCTCAGCCTGTCTAGTTTCAGTGTGAAACACTGCTTTGTTTTTACATCTGTCAATGTTCTCAATAAACAAGCTTCTACACTTCTAATGCATTTTTATTATCCTTGGTGACAAGAATAAAAATATCTCTAGAAGTCACCAATTGTTTTCAAAAAGAAAATCAAAGCACTTAGCTGTAAGAAATGCACTTATTTTTTCTAATTTGGGAAATAAGTGCCACCACTACGCCTCCAGCCCACATCCACACCCAGAGATCTGATGCTTCTCAAACAGACAATTTTTCAGAATTTAATTGCCAGCTTCCAATCAGCCTCATCATTTCAAAGCATGCTGTATCACACGTATAACTTATGTATTTGATTGCAATAGGTCATTTTATGCCTAGATCTGAGAGGAGAAAAGAAATTTCCCATGGGGAATACATTACTGTATTTTTCGAAGAACCAGAACTACTTGCTTCAAGAATATAAATAATATTTGGGAAAAAAGCACTACATTCACTTGAATAATTACTGTAAATTTTTCTCTATTTATCATAATTTAGTTTTAATTTGGCGTTTTTGTTAATGGCTTGCACAGCTGACCCTGGTGTGATACCCATCATACAGTGACCAAATAAACCTTTTCTACTTATTCTATCTGAAGAGGCTTGCTTTTATTTCGTGCTGTTGCTGGACTAGGACTGAAAAATTCCATGCCCAGTTTTCTCATCTATCAGCAGAGCTTCAGAAGTACAGTAGAGGTCAGGCAAAGGTAGAATAATTACCAAGGATCTGATTCAAAGCTCCTTGGGAAGGGAAGACAATAAAAGAAATGTGAACTGAGAGCTATTAATGGAATTAGTTAACAGAAACAAACAAATACTACGTATTGCCATGAAAGAATTTCCACCCAGCGTAACTTGGAATATCAGTATTGTACCAGTATTAGAATTGTATTTGGAGGATTTCATTCTTCCACCAGAATTTCTGCAGGCAAACACTGGCTGTAGCACTAAAAGCTACATTAAAGTCACTAGCTAAAATTTTGGTTGGTGAAAATAAGCATTTATGAACATCTATCAAATTATCTCTGAAGGTGAAATAATTACAAAGGAAAGGGCAGGTGGCATGCCCAGCAACAAAGAAAAAAGAAACAGGGCTAGAACTTTTTAGCCTGCACAGAAGTAGAATAACTGTACGTGGTCTGACATTCTAAAGCTACTTCTCACCAAGCAGGCAGCGTAAGGGGTGTTAGCATAAACGAGCTCATCTGCTTGTCCATGACACCAGCCCACACCTCCATCTAGAACTCCTCCTTCTCACACCCTCAGCCTGCTTTTCACTTCTGCCGTCACAGATTTGATTTTCCCTTTCATGGATTTCTGCTTGAAAAAGCATCGCTGCCTCAATTGTCTATTTTCAGCCTGCATTGAAGAAAACCCTTTAGTTCAATTTGTAGCCACATCCTGTCTCTGCCTCCCCCTCTTTCTGTTCCTAAATATAAGGCTGATGCAATGTGATGTGACATGACAAAATAACACATTTGCATCGGCAGAAACTTTCTCTCCACAGCAGTAATTAAAGGGAGTAGATAAAATACCACTGAAATTGGTGCTTATTTAGCTTGGAAATAAAAGACTGAAAGAGCTCTGGAGGGATGTTCAAGCGTCAAGAACATGGCATCATTGATGAGTGGCTTCTTTTACATGCCTCCCTGCTGCAAAATGGTATGGTAGCTCAAACAATGTAATCTATTTAAGAAAGGATAAAAAAAAAAAAAAGGAGATTTCTGTGGACTGTATTTGTAATCAGTGAAAATCATTCCATGTATTTTTGTATTATAAACAGTACCAAGATACACTTGTGGTTTCATCAAAGGCAAGGTCGTTAAACTTCAAAGCTCAGGCTCTCAAACCGAGCAGAAGACAGACCTTGTAGATTACAGTGAGAACTGGGACCTTAACACCTTATGTTTTGAGTATAGATACTGCAGAAAGACAGGTACTCACCTTCAGCTGCAAGATAGAGCTTTGTTATTGACAAACAACTCAGAAATGCAGCCTAGCACACCAAATGCAATGACCTCAGCAGGATTCACACAACAAATTAAGAACACAAATCTTACAAAATAATATACTGTAACTGATTTTGTTGCATGGATACCCTGCATATACTTGACAGGGATAGAAGGTGACACTAGTGAAAGAGCAACATTTGGAAGCTAAGGGTTCATATTTTATTTTAGAAAGACACTTGAGGTTACTTTGTCCCTATGAAGAACTCACAGAAAAGTCTGATAGATGTTCCATAGGCCACAGGATTTAACAGACACAATATGCTTTAAGGTGACACTTCCTGCTTTCAGGAGCATCTTCCTTCTTTCCTTGTTTACATGAGGCTATTCTTTTAATCCCATCTGTGACTGGCACTACCACTCTGCTTAAAACTGGCAAGCCGCATTTTGAGCAGGCTCATCTCCATCCCAACACAGATGGCATCAAGAATAAGGCAGGCCAGAAAAATCAGCTTGCATATTATGCTTCAGTTTTTATGGGTCAGATTATCATTCAAAGCCATCAAAATGGCAATCCATGTGATGTGCCTCCATTGGAACTGAAGTGATACACTATCACAACCTCCGATGCAGCTGGTTACAAATAGCCTGATGAGCCACATCTTGATATTTAAAAAGCAAAATTATTTTCCTGTCCAACAAGACTCTAACTGATCAAGGAAATGTCTTTAATGAACCAAAAACGAAGAAACTACCCTCATCCCTGAAGAAGCGTATAGGCAAGGCTCTCTTGTCAGAAAATAGTTTAGCATCTATGTTAAATATTCTCTTAATAACCAAGCCCAGTGCAGATGTTGGCTATGTAATTAGTTCCAACCTCTTTGTTCAGCAAGTCAGGAAATTCTTACAGATTCAGGGAGGAAAAAATGGGGGTAAGAAGAGAATTTTGTATGTTTTCTTTGGTACCAGAATAGCAACTGTGTTAAAGAATACAAAAGCAATGCTGAAACAAGGTCAAAAACATAACATTGTTTCCAGTCTCCCTGCAGTAACGCACCAGACAACTGCTGGATTCCCTCTACTACAGGGGCCGTTTCCCAGATGCTACAGAAGACATTCTTCCACATGTGCAGGATTTAAAGCAAGCAACTCTGCTACTGCAAGAAGCTCAGAACAAAAACATTTTAAATGCCTCCTATTCTATTATCACATCACCCAAAACTCAAACAACTTATGCTAAATAACAGCTAGGATCATCACCCACATCACAGTTTTTCCATTCAAGTTTTATCACTCCTCTGACTTCCCAGCAAGAATTTCCTGGCTAAGACACTGTACCAGTTCTTCAGGTGTTCACTCTCAGTCAAACACAACATACACAGACACAGCACATTCCCTGCACCATACTCAAATTGCTCATCCATCTGTAATCCCGATGAACCTATCAAAACATTGTTTACTTTGGTATCTGCAGTGGCAATTTGAAATTAGGATTCTGCTACTGCCTTTGTCAGCACAGCTGGAGGGAAAGAGGAGTGTTCCTAACCATAAAATATTTGCAGGAACGATTTCCAGACCACACGTAAGTCATAACTAATCTGCATCGACTTCATTTTCACCATTTATTTGTGCTTTGGCATTTTCACCTTTTTCTCTACATGGGACAAATGGGCTCCTAGTGATTGCCATGAAACCAAAGAAAATAATCACTTACAGCATTCAGAGCAGAAGAGCCTCGATTATCCTCACAGATCAGCTCTGCCGAAGTCCAGCAGAAAGTGAGACCTGCAGAGAAGAATCAATTTCCATTATCTGGTTTTCCCCAACTCACTACTTAAAGTACCATCAATAAGAAGAGCAGAAGTCCATCTACAGCACAAATTTCATATTTATCAGCATGCAAGATTTCACTCTCATCCAACTGGTTACATTGCAAGTGAATTCACAGCCTTGAGATGCATAGGTTATTCTTTCAGTGATCTATTAAAGCATTTTTAGTAAGCATATGCTGCCAAAGGTACTGAGCAATTCCAAAGCACTCAGTGGAACCAAACCTTTGCTATTTCCTGTTTCTGCACATAAGAAAGAATTTAAAATAAGAACTATAATCTCCAATACTCAGAACTCTGAAAAAAAGACAATTTCATAGAGAATTACATGTTTGTAACAGCACAGCTCTGCTTTGGAAAAGTGCACCTATCAACACTACGACACCCTAGCATCCTCTGAAGATTACTGGGTTATTTGGCTTTCCACTCCCATCACCACAGTGCCACAGTCCCCTCCCAAAATGTTCAAGCGCCCTTCTGAAGGAAGGGGCACAAGGTATCAAATACCCTGCTGCATGACCAACTTCTGCTGTTAGGAATTAGCTTCCAGAAGGCTGTAAAGAACTAGAATTATCTCCCCTGACAGTTACTATTTTAACTTAAAATGTGATTCACAACAAAGATAACGTAGAACATTCAAACAGCATCTGAGAATTTTCCTTTTTACACTATTTTTAAACATTCTAACAGCACACCATATTGCTTTAGAGTTGCACCTCACTGTAGGTTCGATGACTCACATTTAGCCCTAACAGGAGAATTCAGGACTCCTTCCCACCTCCTCCCCCCATGAAACTTCATAAATTCTGGTTATCTGCATCACTTACTCCTCCTTCCATCGTGGATGGACATTCTACTCTGTATGAGAAAATCCTGCTTAATCAAATACTTGACTGCACAGTGAGCAAGGTGAATCAGGCAGACTGGTTCTCTAAACTCAACACTGATTCCTTTCTTTAGGAGTTGATGCAAGTTTGTTGAAGAGAAGGGATTCTAACATGCATCTAAAGACAAATGGCTCAGATCATCTGCTACTTCAACATGCAAAAAGCAACTTGAAAGCAAAGTCCTGGAAGGTACCAGCAGCAGCAGAACCTGAATTGATCTACATGACTTCATTGGAAGGGCAGGTTTTGAAGAATCTAAATCAAAATTCTCAACTGTGTTTATAGAATTACAATCCAAGGGACTTTTGGCATTGGGGAAAAAAAATCTAGAATTGTTTCAATTAAAATCATAACTTGGCCACATAATGGCTGACAACAGCTTGGGATACTGAATTTATGCACAAATTGGAAATGCTGGTTCCAAGAACAAAAGCATTAAAACTCACATTCGAGTTATGACTATAGGAGACGCTCTGTTTGCAGCCAAGGCCTATAATACACATCTTTATGCTCAGACCTCATCTCATCAGCAGCAACAAACTCCATTCTTTGCAAGGATGTTAGTAGGTCTCAAAGAACTGGGGGTGGGGGAAAAGTAACCACTCGTACCAGCTCACACAGCCTTCAGTCTGTTGGGTTTTTTTGTTCGGTTGGTGTTTTTTTGTTGTTGTTGTTGTTGTTGTTATTTTTTAAACCTATTGCCTCCCTGTAGTCTGGGGCAACTTATAAAGAAAGACTAAATTTATTTTGTGCAGGAATAATCATCTGAAACACTAATTATACTAAAATAAAAGCACCTGGAAAGGTCACATGAAGCCAAGTCTCGCCCTATCAAGATTCATATATTCCTTATAGGAAATGCTGGAGAGCAGATTCAAATTCAGTTAAAAAACAATCATGAGACAACTGAAGCTTTCTGGTTTTGGTGGAAGAGCTGAACACTGGCAAGTATTTCATAGTATGGCTTTCACCCATTAGAATTTTGTTTTCTAAAGAGCAGATAGGAGCTCTGATATGACCGATCAGTCCTGAAGAAAACACCTATTATTTAGCAGCATTAATTAACAGTCCATAGACATATCTGCAGTTAGTTACCCAGTAGGACATTTATGATGCCCTTTCAGAAGTATATTGTCCTTTGCTGTTAACACGCAGCTAACATAACAGCCAAAGAGCAACCCAATTAACTTCTCCATGGGCTGAAATTTAAACCAGCAATTAATTCTATAATTCACTTAGCAGAACATCAGACACTTCCACCAGGAAAGCTGAGCAAATCTACTCAAAACACACAAAATTTAGTTTTGAGAACACAGGAACTGCTGTCAGTTTACATGTCATTATTTAGTGATAAATATTACTCAGAGTTCAACTTGAATTTCTGCCTCGGAATTATAGGAGCCTTTAAAAGAATTCAGCCCATGTCAGATAACTCCCCTTCACACTGTGAGAAGCACATAAAGGAGCACTGATGTGTGAATTACATTCCTAACATGTTTACTAGCTAGTGTAAGTTGGCTAAAGCCAATAATCCCCAACTTGCTGTGCTATTTATACCAGCTACAGAGCCAGTAGGCTTCAGAGATCCAGAGAAGCCAAGTCAAACTGCACTCATTTTTATGCATGATACTGGTAATATTCCTGGATATTCAAACATTGATGTGAAGAGCTGCAGCCTGGAACAATGTTTGCACGGTACTGTTAACATTAGAATGTAACCAAGGCTAGAGCTTAATTTTAAAAGTAAATAAAGTGCCCTGCTAAAGCAATGTCAGAGAACACACGGCCTTGTTTGCCATTTGTAAGCATACATACTTCAAGCAAAACTCACAGCCCACGTTCACTGGTATTTAGGACTGAATAAGACATTCTTGCATAGCTGTTCGATTTCTTATTTACCATAAGGTCAAACACAAACCAGAATGTCGTATTGCAATTTCATAAGATCATAACATAATAAGCATAAACTTGTTGCATGGAAACTGGTACTTTTTAACACGCCAGAAGCAACACACCAGAAAGTTTTGAAGAAAAGTGACAGGTAGGAGAAAGGAAGAGGATTATCCACACGTCTGAGGCATAAAAAAAATGCAGAATTCTGATCTAAAGACCAATAAAATCAGTGCGAGTTGGCAGTGGCAGGAACAGAGCTCAGAAACGTGAAGCAAAGTAGCATTTGGTACCTTAAACTTTATACCTCAGGTGTCCTTGAAAATTCCAACTACTCAACAACAAAAATACCACTCATGAGCATTTTATTCTGCAACATTTGACTCCGTTTAAATCCGTGAGGGTGGGTAGCCAAACACTGAAGCAGCCACGAAATACATTGTTTCCAGGTTACCAACGAGGTTACCAGTGATCCTCAGCCGAACCCTGACACCAGCTAATGGCAGCAGCCCTTGTCTCTGCACACCGCAGCTCCACCTCCTGCAGCAGCCAGAACAGCAGGACTACGACCAGAATCACCATCCCTGTTTCTTCCTTTGGCGCTGCATGTTGGTCAGCTCTGCTTGAGAGAAACATCCCCACAACAGCCCTACACGACTCCTCTCTCATTTGTTTGTGATGAAGGAGTTAATATCTGTGACCCAAATATGGAGACCCACTTTAAACTTGCTGAAAATTGCTTTTTAATCCCAGCTCTCGAGGATTTCCTTTGAAACCATCTGCCATGCATGCTCAGTGCTCCTCTCCCATATACATGCAGGATTACTATAATATGGATTCTTTTGTGTAACTTAATACATTTCAGTATATTATAAAATTAGTTGAATGTTTCCCTTTAGAAATAAATAAATTACATTTTCATACCAGAAAGTCAAAATCAGTGATAAATTCACAGAAAACCAGACCCATATTTATCTTATTTACTGTAGCATTTACATTGCAACTCTTGTTTATGCAGTCAGTCTGACGGTGCATGAGATTCAAGCAGTTCTGAGTCACTGAACCAATGTAACCTACGTACTTGCTTAAAAGTGAGCTTAAGCATTCTCCAGGACATGATTTAAACACGTGCCTCCCCAGCTACAAGTTAGTTTCTAGACTGGAAGAAAGAATTAACTGTGTGATAATTAAGGATCAAAGAAGATTTCTAAGTATCCTTAAATCTGCAGTATTTTCTATTTGCTTATGATGAACCTTCGTGCTGTTGTAATTTTCTAGCACGAATACTGACGAAGTGATACTTCAGGTCACATTCATACACTCATATTTTAACAAACAGTTACTGCAACTACAAGCACTTGGGCAGCCATCTAAAACAAAACAAAGAAATACCAGCTTAGCAGAATAACCACAGCTCGAGTGATTGAAAAAGCAGGCAGTCAGCAAGATACACCTACAACTCATTTCTTGGATCAGTCTACAAAGTCAAAATTCAAAGCCCCAACAAAAGCAGAGCATTTTTCATATGGAATACTTTTAAATAAAGTGATTATTTGCTAGCAAACACCCCAGGAGAGGGAAATTAGGCAAGTTATTTGCATAGTTTTAGTGGTGTAAACAACATCAACATTTCAGAAGACAGGCCCATAAACTTCAAGAGTATTCCTTTTCATGTTGAACAGTCACTTAATATCTAAGTTTCACTAGATATTTCATTAATATCTATTTTTTTCCTGCACATGAGCAATTGATAGAAGTTGTTAACATACAGGAGATCTGCACATGCAGAGGTTGGAAGAATGCAGAAAAGCAAACAAGCAATTCATTTTGTTTCAGATGTTGGAGCACCGTCCTGCAGATGTGTTACTTTTAATACAAAGCAGCTCCTAAGATGAGTGAGGAGGAGAGGAGAGAACCAAAGCCCAATCACTGGGTGTTCACATTTAATGGGCTTCCTGCTGTCCTTATAATTCTGTCCTTATAATTTTCCTTCACTAAAAATTATATTAAATTCATTTTGTCTTAAGCAACAGTGGGGAGAAACTCAAGATATCTAAGATGGCTGCTTGCAGATTCTTCTAGATGATGTGTTAGACTGTCATTTAGTCTGCAAGCGGGTATAAAGCCAGAGCAATTCACAAGATCCTATGGCCCAGCCTGGAATGAAACTATGAAAAGCTTTACGTCCTGCTGTAACAGCTTAATGGCAAACGGCTGGCAGAAGGCAGTGCTGCAAAGATTGGTGCTAATAAAAACAAACAACAACAAAAATAAATGCACACTAACTCTAAATCACTGTCCTCTGTGTAAGGGAGAGACTGATTGAAGCCCACCCACAGGCCATTGGGCCTTACTGCATTCAGCTTCTTTCCAGTTTCTTAAACCTAGTCAGTGATGCTGAGGAGTTGGAAAGGCATCAGGATGTGTGTGATGCCAGTGCTGTAGAACATAAAATGCAACCAACTGATGCATACATAGCTCTTGCCCTCTTCACACACAGAAAACCCAGAAATGTGTCTGCACAAATGTACATAGTGAAACCCTCTGCCAAGGCTTCCAGGCAAGGGCAGAAGTTCAGTGTGTGAAGGCTCAGCAGTCATTTAGTGAGCAGAGCTGTCACTGATAGCATCCAAGTGCTCTGGCACCATAGCACAGGAACCTAATGACCAACTTACTTAACAAAAGTGATTCAGAAAAGCTTGCATGAGGGAGATGTGAAGATTTTGATGCTGTGTAAATCTTTTGATTTTTATCAATGGAGGATTTGGCTTCATGCAGTCCATTTTAAATTACCATCATGGGCCAAAGTCTACTGACATATATGTAGGCAAGTTTGGAGTCAACCTGAAATTTGTTTTTCCATACCTGTGATGACCAAATAAAAGCACAGGCTTCAAGTTACACCAATTACAGCATCTCCTATGCAAACAAGTCCAATTAGCATTGCATTATCTCAGTTTACAGGAGTCAAACTCTGAAGACAATGCTAAAGTGAGATGCTGTCATGAACAAGACTGCAAGTTTATTTCCTATTAGTTCCCAGACATTTTGGCTTTTTATGTATTACTATCTTGACTGCATACAACAAAGAAATACAGTAAAACTGGCAAGACCACAGGGAACAATCACTTCTCTGTGAAAGAGAAGTGTTTAAGATGCATTCTCAAAGCTGCCCTGCTGTAATGGATAGGTGTGCCTGCTGCAAAGACCTGAATTTAAAAATTACTGTTTATGAGTGTTTCCATAAAGCGTTGTTCTTTTCTGATACTGAATGAACGTGGTCTATTACAACACTCAAGGCACTCTGACATGGTGAAGGATTGATTTACGAGCTATTGTGCTAGAAAAGATTAGTCATTATATGAACAAGCTGTAAGAAGCTATCCAGACTTGAAATGAGGAAAAAAAAAATAAAAAACAAAGAAAGAACAGGCTGGACTTTGTGTTATCATTACAAAGCTAAAGCAAATAAAACTAACTGGTATTTACTGATGTATCAACCGCAAGAACTTAACAGCCTCAAGGTTTTATCTCCTACCCACAACTTCACTGAATCTGATCTGCAGAGTATTGGGTCAAAACACAGTAATTCTGACAAAGCAAGTTTTAGCACATGCTTTGCTTCAGCGTAATTGAATGAAGGATGAGAAACTGTCATACCTGTTAGCCATGACGCCGTGAGCAAAATGCTTAGCAAGAGGCATGTCATCAATTTGGATCAATTCAACTGGGTCATTCTATTCGTTGTCACTGGAATCAGTGACTGAGCAGAAGCCAGGCCTCTGAAGGACAGTATTCCTAAAAACATCACCACAGCAGTGTTAATCTCTTCACTGATCAAACCTACAACCTCAATAATTAAATTTATTTTAATTACTGGAGTCTTAGCCTCTTCCTCCTCTACTCCCCCTCAGAAAGAGATATTGCAGAAACAAAGAGCTCAGATACTACACTCAATTTGGAGAAGGAAGAAACCTGCTTCTCTCCTCACTCCACTACTTAGAGATCCTGCTCACACAAATACAAGTGGTATGTCACGATGTTTTAACTTCTTCACCTTCTGGGGATAACATGCTGCAGAGTTATTTTAAGAACACAGCTCATTCACAAAGGTCTCCAATTCTGTCTTCAGAGACAAAAATGATTTTCTTGCTGCTTCAAAATCTGCTGGCATGACATTAGCTTCAGAGGGAGTTCATTTGTTGTTCCGACATCAAAATGGAGCAAAAGCAGCTGCCAGGAGAGTGATAAAAGGAAACACTGGTGACAAAGAGCAGCAGGGTCATTTCTGGTGCAAAGAAATAGAGAACAGAGAACTGTAGAGCTGTCAATTTCTCCAAAACTCTATTGAGGATTAAAGATCTCCCCTCTTCCATCAACAACTGGTATTCAGCAGCAAGAGGGAAATGAGACAGAAAGAACAATAAACAATCAGACCTATATCCTTAAATAGCAAATTAGTATATACTGACTTTAAGCACCTGAGCACTTCCAGTTAAAGACAAGATCACGTTTAAGCTCTGTAGCTGAGCAAAGGATTCAGTTACTCCTCCAGAAAAGTGAAACAAAAATAGTTCTGGCTAGAAAACACTGGATGGTATGGAGTTCAGTGCTTTGGAGCTAACAGTCTTTGGGAGGAATTCAAGCCCCAGCACCAAATGGTGACTACCATACTTGCATAGACTGCATACTGCACAAACCTGGAACAAAGCTGTCACTGCAATATGACCACTGCCAGAACTAAGCTGCAAGAGCCATGATCGGGGGTGAGGGGCCATGGCTGCTTTCAAGATGAAGGCGATGCTCATTTTGATGGACGTGCCTTTCTGACTGACTAAGCTATGCTAGGGCATCCACTTCTTTTGATTGATTTTTTTTCCCCAGCCTCTTCACTATTACGTGGTACCTAGAACAGACCAAAAATTCGTTCCCCATTTGACAACAAGCAGAACTTTGTTACCTTCTAGACAAAGGTACTGACTTCATAAAGTAAGGCAAACCTAACCAAAGTCACAACAAAATATTCTTTTCCCCATTTTGCCTTATTAATAGATAAATTTGCTTTCTGTTTTATGAAGAGATAAAAGGTTTTAAAGATGAACATTTTGGAAAATTATTTTTCAAAGAGAAATAGCAATAGACAACAGATTTTAAAGCTATGGATGCCTCGCATGTATTAATTATCCCTTTGTGTGTTAGAACCATGATTAGTTTACAGCAAAATATGACTAGCCAAAAGCCATCAAATTCCCAAGCACTAACACTGCTTACGACACTTTACGGTTTCAATAGTAGGATTTATGAATAAAATATTAACAGTGCTGCAGAATGCTGAGGAATGCATCTGCAGGGCTGTACACTGAGGTACGTGTGGGCTTGTCAAACACCCACACAATAAATTATCAATAATGCAGCTCAGAGCCCTCCTTTTGTGCATCACAGAAATCTATGCAAGCATTTAATTATGCTTTCTCTCTTTAATATTACTTTTCCTGCATTAAATTGTCACAAAAAGACCTGCACACACATGCTGAAGGACATTTATGTACAATACTGAGCCACGAAATCATTTAAAGGCCTATTTTCATAGCCAGTTTCCATAACACACACAAAAAAAAAGAACACCAAAGCCTACATCTGAAGCTGGATTATAGCATTTTATACTGAGCAATACCATCTTTCATGGAGAATTTTAAGGTTAACACACTGTTGAGGAAGATCAAAGAAATAGAACAGGGATGATTACACATTGTCTTCCACCACTTAGCCTTATGCAGAGTGCTGTCAAAAAGATTATACCTCTGCAAGGCAAGTGGCAAATTCAAGGGGAGAGTAAATCTCCCAAGAGTCAGAAGGAAATACTGAACTTGATACAATAGGTTTTCAGAAAGAGAAAAAACTGTCCTCTGTGCTTCTAGACTACAGCATTTACTTTTACATGCTGTTTAAACAGGCTTATCGAGATGTCTGACAAATTCAGATACACTACCATTTGGTGTTTGATACTCAAAAAGCAGACTTGTATCTGCTTTAGAGTCCTCTTACTGTGAGCAAAATAGCAAGAGACAGATGCATGTCCCCATGAATAACTGTCTTCACCAGTAAAAAATTAGAACTGATCTGTCGTGCTTCATCAGCAGCAGTATCACATATCTCCATGCATCACTGGGGATGACAAATCAGGTGCCATCAAACTGGGTTCTGGCAGGATCAAGAGCAGTGTTTCTACCTGCCCAGTTCAAGTACCTGCTATTAGATTCACTGGCTCACACTCACTGGACTACTTGCAAAGCACTCTTGCTCAAAGCTGTGTTCCAGCTCTAGCAAGCTCCTCTCGGAAGGCTTCACACTTCTTGTCCATAGACATGCAGGAACAAGGAAGCACCAACTCATTGCAGAGCACCACATGTTCCTTCCACAGCTGTGTTCAAATGAGGTGCGATTTATACAGCTAACATGCAACACTATTGCAGGCAACAGGCTTCTATCTCAGGACTGCACTGAGAAAACAAGAGGTCTATTAGAAATTGAGCACTTGGTATACCTGCAATTCCAGGTTTCCTTAAATTTATTTCAGCCTAAGCAAGCTTCAATCTTGTTTGCCCTTGCCTTCTACAGTAAGGCAGAGGCCAAGAATAGCCATGAAAGGCTTTACAAGCTCAGCACGGAAGGATGATATACCATTAGGGCGGGTCCTTCAATACTGCCATCTGACTTGACTCCATATGGACATGCAAGATAAGTGCATCCCTTCAGCTGCTACCTCACCAGTCTTCTACCTCATTGAGAAGAGCTGGTTCAATTTCAAAGGGCAAATAAAAAGAACAATGTAGTTGTGGCAAAAAACGAAGGGACATCCCACATTCTAGTTACATTTCATTAGGCGCATGGAAAATGGAAAAGATGGCTTGTAATAACCCAGCAAAAAGCTGCCAGAAGAACCACTAGCAATGCCAGACTGCAATCCAGCTCACTTCTACACTGAAAAAAATTTGTCTACAAAACAGTGCCCAACACTAGCTTTTCAGTATTTCACAGGCAAAACATCCATTTGCCGACATCCACCTGAAAACTCAGTACAGCTTGGACTTGCCAACCAAGAGGAAGCCAGGAGCTCGAGGCGCAGAGGAAGGTCTCGATGCAGGATAGCGCGTTCTGCTCCACCTGCACGCCCCGCCCGTTGGCACTGCAGGCTGCCCGCTGGCACAGCTGGGTGCCGCTCCTCCATTTGAGAGCCACCATCCCTGCAAACACCGCAGTCTGTCGAACGAGCAGTAGATGAACCATACGAACCACTCTCAAGAGTTTTCCTGCGGCATTACTTTTTAATATCCCGCGTGTCGCTCTTTAAAAGAGCCTTTCAAAGCAACCTGAACAAAGATACAGCACGAGAGCACGAGCTTCACCGGCACTTCCTCCGCCCGCGCCCTGCGGTCATAAACCAGTTGTAAACGAGCCCTTCCGTGTTTTTTTTCCCAAGTAAACTGGTAACTGAAGTGTTTTAAAAACAAACGTGACAGCAAAGCTACGCGGAAATTCCGGAGTAGAACACCCAGTAACACCTGAGAAACGCAGCAGAGAGTTAACAAGGCACCTAAATGTTGGCAGAGCGCTTGAGGGCAGGAGGCTGTGAGGAACGGCAGGCGGTGCGTCCCAAGCGGCGCCCATAGCAGCGCCCACAGCGCCGCGCGCACCTCAGCTGCACAACGGGAGCAAAACTCAGCGGGCGGAGCGGAACGGGGCAGCTCAGCTCTGCACGAGCCCGCCGCACCTGAAGCAACGCCGCCCCGCACGCCTCGGGGCCGGCTCTCGTTCCGCCGCGTTTCCGGCGGCCGAAACGGCCGCGTTTCCGCTGAATTCAGCGAGTTCCTTTGGCGGCAGGGCGAGGCGGGAATCACCTCAGAGCAGCGGTGTTCCCACGCCCCGCGCAGCTCAAAGGCCGCCGCCGCCTCACAGCGCCCCGCCAACATCGCGCGCGCGCAGCTCCCCCCCCCCCCCCTCAGCCAGCCGCGCACCGACCGACCAGCCAGCCGCCCGCCTCGGCGACCTCCGCGTCCTCACCTCACCCCGCCCCGGCAGCGCCATTGGCACCTCCCGCCGCTCGTCACCCGCTTCCCGCCTCCCATTGGCCGGCTGCCCACCCGCGGACGGGCGCACCAGAGACTTCCTCGGCTGTCACGCGGAGCCTCGCGCAGCGATTCGAAGAAAAACGGCCGCCGCCACCACTCACTCGCGAGGAGAGCTGCCAATCAGGCCGCCGCCCGGGCTCCGAGCTCCATTGGCCCAGTAACCCCTTTTCGGGCTTTCGTTTTCCCCCATTGGCTAATCGGATCGGATAGGGCGCCGCGATTGGGCAAAAAGCGGGTCTCGGGGGCGGGAATCGACCCGGGGGGAGACTCGATTGGCCGGAAGGCCGGAGCGGCACCGCGTGATTGGCAAAAAAGGTGAAGAAGGCGGGGCCGCCCGAGGTGAGGGTTGTGTGAGGTGAGGGAATCTCGCGGGGTCTCGCTAGCTCTGGGCGCGGAGGCGCGCGGTGATTGGGTGGCTGGGGTCAAGGGGGCGGGACTGAGTCAGGGAGTCTCTGCGGCGGCCGAGTCCTATGGGCCGGCCGAGCTGGGTCCCGCTCGGTGATTGGGTGGGGGCGGCTCTCGCGGAGCCTGGTGGGCCGGGTCCGATTGGCTGCGGGCGGGTGTCGGGCGCGCGCCCCGCATGGGGGCGGGGGGGGCCGGCGGGGGGAGGGCAGGCCGGGTGCGCGTGCCCGCTGAGCGCTCCGCGCTGGGGCTCCGCGAGGAGGTGAGTGGCGGCGGCGGCGGAGGGTCGGGCGGCCGAGGCGGCGGCCGGGGGGCGGAGCGGCGCCGCGCGGCGGGGCCCTGAGAGCCCGCCGCCCCCACCCCTGCCCGTCGCACGCACGCAGCGGAGACCCCCTCCCCCCACCCGGCCCCGCTCCTTCCCCGCCCCGCCGCGCCCCTCCGGCGCCGCCGCCGCCGCCCCGCTGTCAGCGCGCCGCCCCCCGCCCCACGGCCCCGCTCCCGCCCCTGTCATCCATTTGTCACCCGCCCCCGCTCCCGCCGTGCCCGCGCACCCCCCCTTCACCCTCCCCGGCCCTCTCTCTCCCTCGGCCGGTCCCGTCGGCTCCCCCCGCCCCCCCGCCCCGCCGCCCGCGCCCCCCTCACTCTCTTCGGGTGCTCTGTATGTTTCAGGGCCTGCGAGGAAAAGTTGCGAACTCCCCGAGTTGTTGGCTGTGGCGGAGGGAGCAGGTGTGCGAGCGGAGGGAGCGATGTAGGAGGCGCGGGGCGCTCCGCGGGGATGTGGGCATGGCAGGGGTAGGCTCGGCCCGCGCAGGGCGTCCCCGGGCGGCGGCCCCTCATCCTCCGGGCGCGGGGCACTGAGCGCCCCTTCCTCGGAAACGAAGTGCGGAGAGCCCGGAGCGCCGCGGCCCTGCCCGGGATGGAGCCCCAGTGAGCGCCGCGGGCGGTGGGTCGGCGCTCGGGCTCGTGCACATGAAGAGTCTCCGCGCCGTGTGGCTTCGCCAAGAGATCAGGCCCGCTGAGCTCGATGTTCTCGCAGGTGGGCCGTGTATGATGGAACCCGACTTCCTTTAAAGTGTAGCAAATCTCATTTTTTGATGGCCAAATGACAGCTTGACCTGGTCGTTTGCCGGTCAAGGGGCATTTTTTTGAATGTCTCTTTGTGGCGCGACGGCCAACGCAAAAATGATGGCGGCTTACAATGGCGGTACGTCTGCGGCAGCGGCAGGTCACCACCACCACCATCACCACCACCTCCCTCACCTCCCTCCTCCTCACCTCCATCACCACCACCACCCTCAGCACCACCTGCACCCCAGCTCCGCGCCCGCGGTCCATCCCGTGCAGCAGCACGCTTCCTCGGCAGCTGCGGCCGCGGCGGCGGCGGCGGCGGCGGCGGCGATGTTGAACCCCGGGCAGCAGCAGCCATATTTCCCATCGCCGGCACCGGGCCAGGCCCCTGGACCAGCGGCGGCCGCCCCAGCTCAGGTACAAGCTGCAGCTGCGGCTGCGGTCAAAGCGCACCATCATCAGCACTCACAACATCCACAGCAGCAGCTGGATATTGAGCCGGACAGACCTATTGGATACGGAGCCTTTGGTGTCGTCTGGTGAGTAGAGAAAAAACCGAACTGAGTTTACATTCTTTTCTACCAAATCATAATTCATTCTTGGTTTTTCTCATTTGATCCAGAATAGAAGAAAGCTGCCCAGTTCTTTGCTGGCTCTTCTCCTTTCTTAGAAAGTTGGGTTCTCTTGTTTCTCTTGGCAGGGCGAGGTGAAGAACAACCCCTTGTTATCAGGCCACACCATCAGTCTTGATTAGGACAAAAGCAGCACGTTTGTGCACCTGCACGTTTTCTTAGAATGTACGTGCTGCGTGGCTGAGCCGCACCTGCTAAGATTTCAGGTTTACAAACATTAGAAGATGTATTCTGACCTAGCTTAAGAGCTAGAATTCAAAGCGTCTGAAAATGTCTTCCTGCCCCCGTCACCTGCCGGGAGCCGTGCCGGGGAGGCTGCCTGAAACAGAGCGCCTGAACTTTGCTCTCCTCTCATAAATGCAAATGGGATTTTCTGTCCTACTGTACTGTGCTGCAATACCTGGACTCTCTCAGCTGCAATGTTGCAGGATTTTCTCAGTAGGTCATAATCTCTTCTAATATATTTTGTGACTGCTTCATGTATGTCATAATTGCCCGTCAGGATCACTGGAGCAAAGCTAGAGTGGTTTTTGATTGTTTTTTGGATGAGCTGCTGCCAGGTTCCCAGCGCTCTGTGGCCGTCTGGGAGCAGAAGGGACGCCGGGGTTTTGTTGTGAGAGCAGGCGCGTCGCCGCGTACTTCCTGCCTCGCCGGCACCAAGTTTGCAGCAGGTCGGTGGTGCGGCCCCGTGCAGCTCCTGCTTGGCTGCGGGTGCTGCGGTGTCACCGAGAGCAGTGGGGCTGCGGGGCACAGCGGGGACAGCCTGCATTGGGAGATGGTGGCCCTGCCTTTAGAGCAGGCCGGTGTTTGTCACACACCGCGTTGGCTGGGATTGCTGCGCAGGAGAAGCGTAGCTGAGTGCTGTGACTGGTCTGTGTCCCTTAATGCAGGAGTTAAGGGCTGGGAGCAGGGAGCTGGGGGTGCTGCTGCATGGGCAGCTCTACTCCAGTCCTGCTGTGCTGAAGTGTTCAAAAAAAGTCCAGGAAAGAGTAAAGGCTGTGAAGAAAACTTCATTTTCATCTGTTCTTCTATTTTTTCTTGATGAAGTGTGGTTTTTCATCTCAGTTGTTGCTAGTTTGCTTAAATTTGGAGCATTATGTAAGATCGGACCCTCTTAGCAGTTGGCTCAAATACTTTGTTTACCTGTGTGTAATTTTCCGGTCTTTATTTTTCCCAGTTTTATCTGCCAAAAAAAAAAAAAAACCCAACAACAGAAGGTACAAAGAGTGATCTGCACTCATAACATTCAGTGGAATAAAAGGTTACATTTGCATATTCAGTACTGAGAGCTCTGGGGAAGAGAAGTGTAGGATGAGGGTCTGCCCTGGGCAGAGGGCGGCAGAGCAGCACCAGGCTCCTCTGCTACCCCACGGCCATGGGACGGAGCCTGCAGAGCTGCTGTGCTAAAACTGTAAGGGCGTGCAGACGAAGAACGTGATGGATGGAATTCAGTTCCTCTTTGCTCACGTATAGCTGAACTCTGCGCTCACTGTGCAGCGTTTGTTTCATGTTCACTTCTGCTGGTGGGGCTGTGCTGAGCTGAGCAGGCCTTGTAAGTGGAGGTAAGCTGAATTTTATGTTTCGTTCCAAACGGGAGTGCCTGTATAACTCAGTTCTGGCTGTAAGGGATAACGGAACCCAACATGAACATCGATTTGGGTGTTTACAGTTCAAATTAGCCATGAAAAATGCATCCTTTGGTACAAGCGTAACATGAAAAATTCAGTAACACGAGGCCCAGGCTAGTTGTGCATGAGGATTCTGTTGCATATCTGTATCTCTTTCTGAGCATCAGTTGGCGCTGACAAATAACCAAAGGGCTCATATCTGTATGTTGTTGAGAAATGCTGCTCTGCAGGCGGTTGACGTACCTGAAGGAGTCCTTCATCGTACCCCTGAGATGCGTTGTGTTGTCCGGAAGCTGCAGCTTATCCCGCAGTCTCTGCTGCTCCCTGGGTGCTGCCCGTGCCGCGCACCCGTCCTGCTGCCAGCGGGACACTTTGTCCTTCACCTGCTCCCTGACAGCACATCCTTAATGTGCGGGGAGAAAAATCGTCCAGATCTTAGTTTCAGCAAAAACTCTGTGTCCTGCATTTCAAAACACGCATCAGATGTTTGGAAGTCTTGTGAGTGTTTTGGGGTAAGGAGCTGTCCTTTGCAAAGCGCTCCCTGTTCTGCCGGGGAGACGTGCTGCTGCCATCTGGTGGGGTTCGTAAAAATAACGATAGTAATAAGAAGAGGGCAGTGAGCCTGGTTGGGGAGCGAGGGGCCAAGGGCTGATGCCTCTGCAGGACTGAAATTCCCACAGCAGAGAGCAGCAGCGGCTGTGGGGGTGGCCGGAGTGGAACCGAGTGCTGTGTTGGTTGGGCTGGGACTCTGCCAGATGTGTGCGGGTCGTGTCAGCCTTCTGTGTGCCGTGGAGTTCAGAAAGGTGCAGTTCGGCACAGAGGATGAAACCAGGCAACCAGTGTTATTACTATAAAAACTGTGGTGAGAGGCGTTTCTGTGGGAAATGTGCCACAAGTGGCACACAAAAAA